CTAACATCCTATCTCAACAGGGCAGCTATGGCTGCATTCAGCCAGCCAGCGCCCTCACTCTCTTCCTGCGCCACTTCTTGCTTCCAGCGCTGACTTCACCTCCCACTCTAGCGCACAAATGGCCAGCACTTCCACGCCAGTGGGGAATGAGCTTCCAGGAGGCTCACTGCCTCTTTTATAATCTTGGCGAGCAGCTTCAGCCTCTGAATTGGTACTTCGGCCTGGCCCAGATCTGCATTGCATTAGTCCCATCTCTTTTCCCACGAGGTACTGCTTGAATTTGAGGCCACCGGCCTAGCCTTTGGACTGACAGGACTGGATCTGGACTGCCCTCTAGACTTAAGACAGGACTGGGACACTTTTAGTTAGCTGTACCCACGGCAAGACACAAATCTAAGCGAACAGGCACATTCTCAAAATGAACAGACATTCTGCATTTCCTCCCTCAAATGAATGCWAGTTCTTTTACATACATTCCCTTTCTGTAGCTTCGTGTGCAGATGCATGTTGACTGTTCGACAGACCTTTGCTTTCTTTCAGAGATGTGACTTTTGACCCCCAGAGGTGACTTTTCGTTTGTCTACTCGTCTGTTGACTTGCTGGCTGGGTCCCATTCGCACCTGTTCAAAGTGCTTTACCTTTGGACGCTGTATTTTGAACCTTCCACGGGGTTCCCTTTTCACCCCTTTAACGCTGATTCTCTTTTAGAGGGTCTGAATGGGGTATTGACGGGTAAAGGCCCTTTTACTTGGGGTCCTGGCTCCATGGGAGGGTAGAAATGCAATGAACTTGCAGATGCTCAGCGAGCTGTAGTACTAGTTGGGCCTTTTCCTAGTTTTCTGAATACGAAAAAGGCCTAGTCCCGTAGGAACTTTCCTGCAATTTCTAACAGTCCCAGGCTCATTCATTTTCCTGCTGTTGTACCATACTGGAAACGGTAGGCCAATGCTGATTTTGATTTGTCCTAGGTCTAGGTCCGGTCTGGTAGGTCGTAGGGTCTAGAGCTAGTTGGAGTGAGACTTCGTTAGGGTTCTTTTCTTTTTCAGCATGTGGGGGAAACTTTGTCGGGTTGGAGGGCGAGCGCTGCTGCGCTATATGTAATCTAGGTCCTTCTTTGACTGGACAGCCATAGCAGGTGGATGGAGTGCTCGTTGAAGGAAGCGCTGAAGCTGGGATTCAGGCGCTGTAGGCGTTTCACTGTCACTGCGCTGTTGGGGCTCAGGGCTGCCATATCATCTTCTTGTTGGCAGCGGTTTTCGTCTTCATCGACATTTAGTTTCTTCTTCATCTGGGTGCTAGCGCTGCTGCCCTGACTGGGCGATTTCAAGATGCGAAGGGAGACTCAGTGGGACTTTGATTGGCGCCTGCTTGGGATTGGTCGCTGGCGAACTGCAGGCTTGGATGGCTGGGCACTGATAGCCAGGGTTGGGGCAAAGCATGGGGAAGAAGAAGACCCCGTAATAATTCGATGAACTGCCGTTTGGATTTCCACGGGGTTGTTGATTCTTATAGTCTTCGTAACATTGATTGATTAGATGAGAGAGAGTATTTGAGAATTGAATTTCCAATTCAATTCTATGTTTGTATTGTGAGCGTCCATTGTGTTTTTCTCTCTCCGTTTTTTTGAGGAATTGCCTCCTCCAAGTCTGCTTCATAATTGCACGTTGACGGGACGTGTGAGTTGGCTGTGGATTGCATTTCAATCAGTTACACAACATGTGTGCTCTGCAACTGGGGAACTCTCTGACTGAGAGCCTTCTGTACTGAGTACCAGGAGTCCGAGCCCCCACATCTAACAAAGAGGTAGGGCCTGCCAGTTAGTTGGAGGGGCTGAGACCCGGCCTTCCTCGACTGTACAGCGCCAGTCTTCTCTTACGGCCAGAGTCAATTTTGCAGGACTCACCTGTACTCAGGGAAGGGCGGCCTCTTCTCTACACAGTGGTGGTAAAAACCCTTGGTCCCTTTTCTACCCTCCTCTCCTTCCTTTTCTCTTGTTTTTTTTGCGCTTACTATCTGCAAATAGAAACTGACCCATACGGCCAGGATCACTCACTCACTCTGCACACTGAAGCAACTCCTACCCAACACGCATGAAACATTGCCATGCACTCCAGACCCGGCATAGAATCAACGAGCCTACCAGATGTGGGCAAAGAAATTTGAAGTCCCTGACACCGACAGTTGTATACGTTTGAGAGGGGGAACATCAGGGATTAGATTACAGTACGTCTTGCTCAACGGGCTACTCCTTGGATGACTGCATGCTCTTTGGTTTGTTGGATCCTTTCTGTCCTCTGACATGAACCTTTGTGCATCCCGATGCCTGGCCGTGGCCTCTTCAAAACCCACCTTATGGCCGAGTGTCAGCCCAGTTGTTGTAGAACATTTGTTTTTGTTTTTTTTTTGCCTGGCAGCCTCCGGGCAGGAGGCTGGAGAGGTAGGATCAACCAGCCGACCAATATGCAATCAGAAAGATAGGTGCGCAGATGATTCAGGTGGCAGACAGGAAGACGGAGCACTTGGACACAAGGGGAGAGGTTGGAGGGGCTGCTGCTGAGATGATTTCTTCACAGAGGGGCATCCATCCAGAATGAGGGCAAATTAGTAAATTACATATACATACGTCAGGCTGAAGGGCGTATCAAACGATGTTCCGACAATATTGAAGAACCTGCAGCCCTCTGGTAGTTTGGCCTGATCCCAAAGCTGGCGAGACTTATGTGCAAGGCTCAATATATCCAAGTTGAAAGGCAGCGGCACACACTTGTCTTCTGTGGTCAACTGCACAAAAAGGCAAAACATAAGAAAGGGATGTGGAGAATCCACGCAATCGCTACGTCAGAAGCTAAGAACTGGCGAGTCTCATTGGCAAGGCACAAGTTATCCACATTTGCGAACAGTGACATGTGTGCACCATTCAGTCATGCACGCTACTCACCTCAAACCTTCGTATTAAATTCATGGAAAAACAAAAATATAACATAAAATTAATATACAAGATTACAAGGCTGAAAACCCAGTAGGACCGTGGCCCCCACCCCCGACCGGAACCGGGCCGGTCCTACCGGCTGGTCCACCAGGCCGGCTCCCCCCCCATGGGCCATAGCGCATTGAAGTAGGGGGGTCGGTTCAATTTTTTTTCAGGCCAGGGGGCCTCCACGGCCTGCATGGAGGTTGCCTGGCCTGAAAAAAGTCCGAACCGGGTCCGGTAGGCCTGCCCAAAGGATTTGAAAAGGGCGACCTATCTGGACCGTCGATCTGGAGAGGTCAGCGACTCGGCGGCCCAGATAGGCCAATGTTTTTTTGGGGCGGGAGTACCGGCCCTACCCCTCCCATCGGCCTGCCCCTTCCCTCCCCGGCCTCAGCCCTCCTGCCCCCAACCTGCCACCCGTTCCCTTCCCTGCCCAATCAATCTTCGACGCTCGGAGCTGCCGGTGTGCCCTCCCTGTCGCCTCCAGCCCGTCACTCCTCCAGGCCCTCGAGGCCGGAGTCATCGTCGCCACCATCCCTAAGAGCCACCGGTAAGCTAGTAGCTTCTTCTTCTTCTTCTTCTTCTTCTTCTTGTGCTAACTACCATGGTAGTTAGTGCACCTACCACCGTTGTCGCACTTTTTCTAGTCAGGCCACTTCAGGCAACCAAAAAGCCAACAGGCCGTCAGGCAGGATTTGGATGTTATTTTGCAATTAATAAAATAAATGAAATAAAGCAAATCCCTTCCTGTTGTGTGCGTCCGGCTTCCAGCGAGACCCTTCAATTGCGGTCTCTGCCGGTCCCCGGTCTTAGGAATCTTTTATTTTGATTCGGAACAGCAAGAATCATGCAAATATTAATTATAAAATTCAAGTACGTCATGCATGCATTCAATTTTGCCAATTTTTTAATTTTTGAGAACTGTGACAGGATCCCATGGAAATACAATCATCAAGCAAAGTCAAATAGGGGCACAACAAAGACTGACGGACTTGAGCAATGACAAGAAATAAACGAGGGAAGAATGAAAACTCATAATAATCTCATAGAGTACACATGAAGAGAGCATGGTCAGCACTAGACGAGCGTTCTCACTCATCCCTCAGGGTCGCACACTTATCTCTCATTTTGCTGCGCGTTTCCTGTGCCTTGGACCACGCCCCTGTACTCTCTGAGGTTGCGGTCTCTGAATATAGAGCCACCTAAAACCTGCAAGCTTCGAGCACTTCCATCCAAGTCCTATGATGCGAAAGTCAACCATAGCACAAAACTCCTCCCATAGAGTAGGAAGATATGGTTGAGAGAAAATCCCTCGTCTGAGATGCTGGAAGTCTGAAGGTTAGGTCACTGCCTCGTAATCAATCGTTGCAGGCAAGATATACCTCTTGGCTAGATCTACCAAGTCTCCCCAGCAAGAACCATCCGTGAGAGTGAAAGGTACTGGAGGCTTGGGGTAGTCGGTGTAGAGCTTTGGTCCGAAGTTGGGAATCAGTTTGACACCACTCTCATCAAGCTCCTTCTCTTTTACCTCAAGATACTTTGTTGCTGAGACCCATACTGAATCAAAATGCTCGCGAGTCTCTTTGCCTTTCTTCACGTAGACCCTCAGGTCGTGAATGATACCTCCTGCAAACTCGGTGTGAACCACAAAGACTGATAAGTCTCCCTGCCTGAAGCAAACTGCATTGATGTATCGATACCGGAAAGCATCCCTGAGGGCTATCTCATTAAGACCGGCGAGGACTGTCTCTTGAATTGGGAATAACTGAACTGTACTCATGTGTTGAAAAGGATGTTGGTACCGGTCTCAATGTGTTTTGATGAGGACAAACTTGATTGTCATTGATCTTTGCAGCGACCAGGAAATGGCTGGATGCTTAACTGACTGACTAAAGCTTTCAGGTGACTTGAACTATTGGATGTTGTTGAGAATAGTTGGTCATTGAATACTGATTTCAGGTGACTTTAACTATTGGATGTTGTTGAGAATAGTTGGTCATTGAATACTGATTTCAGGTGACTTGAACTATTGGATGTTGTTGAGAATAGTTGGTCATTGAATACTGATTTCAGGTGACTTGAACTATTGGATGTTGTTGAGAATAGTTGGTCATTGAATACTGATCCCTTGACTGTGGAAACTTTGAAGAGCTGCAACTTACGGAGTAACACTTACTGATCGGGATGCTGGTGGGATTCTCAGAAGGAGAGTTCGGACAACCTTGCGCTCATCTGAGCTCTACCCTGGCTCTCTCCACCGTCTCTAACAACGAGCCAATGTTGGGCATTTTGCCATTATAATCGTAAAAATAAAGTACGTATTCAATGTACTTTTCCTTTCTAACCATCCGGACCGCATGTCCCCTCTGGGTCTGCCTATGAGAGTCCATGTCTCGGCATGCCTCTTCTTCCACCCCTCTCCTTTGTCTCTGTTTGATATGCACTTCACCACCAGAACCTCATCATCTCTCATGATTCCCCACGCCCTAGGTCCCGGGGGATGAGTAGGATAGGCTGTAGATGACAGTTATTAATAAATCTAGACTTAAAACCTCTGACAGTGTCTTGTAAGGTCAAGGACTGGCAAGGGCACCAGTTGAAGAGAGAAGGTTACGAGTTAGAATACGTTTGGTTTGCTTGACAGGGTAGTTGGGCTTTATCAGAGCTTTGTTCTGGTATATTTAGTGTTCTTCAATACCGTGCCGCTAGTCACTCTACTGCATAAATGCCGGGACAGGGCCTGATCTTCAAGTTGACAACTGACACAGACAAGTGATGACCACTTCTCTCTCACGATTTGATGTTGATATCAGAGCAACTCTGGATGCCAGAGAACGGTAAAGTGCAGTCCGCCCGGGGCAGATTCGGAAACAGCTGAATCAGATTATGTGAAACGATTGTCCGTGACTGCTTGATCTGCTCCGATACATAGGATAGTTTTCCCAAAAATTGTTATTAATAGATAGGAGTCGGTGTCAAGTAAGGTTTCCCTTAAGTTCCCCGAGCTCGCTGGCAATCGTTCACTGCCAGGGCTCGTTACCATGTCTCTGTCCGAGGAGAGATCATACGAGCCTGTTACCGACGGACATTACCCGCCCTGGCCCGCTGTGACCCACCCCTCTCCTTCTCCTACTGTAACTCTTTGTCAGAGTTGGCCAGGGTTAGTGATCAAGATGCAGGCGCCTAATTTGGACACGACTCACTCGTGTTGGGCAGAGACTTTATGTCCCAAGTACACCAACATGAGGTATGTTGTTCTGTCCCAGTGCACAATCCCGTTCTGCATGGCAACTCTAGACTCGGAACCCAGCTCGCGTTCGAGGCTATGAGCTCCAGTACAAGGACCGTTCGTAGTTCGCCAGGGTCCTGGGCCTCTCGGTGATAGCAGAGTATTCCGTGCTCAACACGGGCCCGAAGCACTCTGCTAGTCCTATATGAGGGGGGTCACTCCAAGTGAGATAGGGTTTGGCCCAGGCGTAACACGACCATGCTACAATTGATGATCTCGAGTTTGCATTCAACTGCCAGGGTCACTAACAGGACATATAGACAGTTAGTAACGCTCTCACCGTCCGGACTTGTAGGCAACTGACTATAGCTTTCACCCAACTCCCTCTAGAAGCCACTCGTGGTGAGCCCAGATAAAGTCAGTAATCAGAATCGCAATTCATCCACACCTATGGCGGTGACAACTCCGATGTCTGGAGTTCTTTCAAGTGTAGTTCAACCTCCGACTAAAACTGTGAGCAGTGACACAACTTAATGACCATATCAGGATAGCGTACCGGGTGTACTACTACAGAAAGTGGAGCTTGCTGGAATGGTAGGACACATGAACTCTGATCAGGCTGCAGACAAAAGCCAGGGATGGCGACAAAACTCCAAGCGACGTAAGTCTCATTGATTGATTGATGTAGTATTGAGTGTTGCCTCGTCCACTGCAATACGAACCACTGCCCTTAACAAGGCATCTCAACGACACTCACTTAGACTCTGCGTGGAGTGCTGCTTGCTTTACACCCGCTCACACATTACACAATGCTACAAAATTTACTCTCATGGCCTAAAGGGAGTATATCATTAGTTGATGGGGGTTAAGAGTTGCATATTTATGTATAAATAAATATACACGTATACATATATATATATATACATGCATGTGTAGCTCTGAGTTCCCGTGTCCCACTGTTGAGACTAATAGACTGGTGCGAAAAGAGCTGATCCCCACAGGGATAGGGCTCGACTCTGCTGAGGCTTGACAGCTCGACCCACATATCCATTAGCACTCGAATAGAATTGGTCAATTAAGAGGCGGGTGTTCGCTGTAAGCTTAAAAATATGTTATCTTGTCGAGGATCCCTCTTACTCCGAACCAATAGTCAAGAGGAGAGTTTCATTAAGGTCTCTGGCCTCCAATCAAGTTTGTTCAGTCCCCCAATGCAATCGGGAACGAGAGAAGCACGACAAGAAGCAAGGTGAGAGGGCATCACTCGCAAAAGGGGCAATCTATGTGAGACTGAGTTCATCTGTCCGAATTCGCAATCATTTCATATATAGTCAATGCCTCATTATTAATAGTAACCCATCACTTTTTACTTCAACGTTTCTCTTATCTTCAATAGTAGTTCTTTAGAGGCGACGTGAACTGCAGGGAGATAACAAGACAACTACTCGGACCCAGTCAAAGCCCTTCAAAGTGGTAGTCAGCTAAGGACCCCTCAGCCAATGTCAAAACAGTTCGTCTCAGGTATACTTAGCTGCTATGCAACTTCCACACCCGACTTTTAGTCTGTAAATAGTCGTAGAGTCA